AGGCAGCACCAACAGAGGTGGGGGAGAGAGAGGCAGCACCAACAGAGGTGGAGGAGGTAGAGGCAGCACCAGCAGAGGTGGAGGAGGTAGAGGCAGCACCAGCAGAGGTGGAGGAGGTAGAGGCAGCACCAGCAGAGGTGGAGGAGGTAGAGGCAGCACCAGCAGAGGTGGAGGAGGTAGAGGCAGCACCAGCAGAGGTGGAGGAGGTAGAGGCAGCACCAGCAGAGGTGGAGGAGGTAGAGGCAGCACCAGCAGAGGTGGAGGAGGGAGAGGCAGCACCAACAGAGGTGGAGGAGGGAGAGGCAGCACCAACAGAGGTGGAGGAGGGAGAGGCAGCACCAACAGAGGTGGAGGAGGGAGAGGCAGCACCAACAGAGGTGGAGGAGGTAGAGGCAGCACCAACAGAGGTGGAGGAGGTAGAGGCAGCACCAGCAGAGGTGGAGGAGGTAGAGGCAGCACCAGCAGAGGTGGAGGAGGGAGAGGCAGCACCAGCAGAGGTGGAGGAGGGAGAGGCAGCACCAACAGAGGTGGAGGAGGGAGAGGCAGCACCAACAGAGGTGGAGGAGGGAGAGGCAGCACCAACAGAGGTGGAGGAGGGAGACGCAGCACCAGCAGAGGTGGAGGAGGGAGAGGCAGCACCAACAGAGGTGGAGGAGGGAGAGGCAGCACCAACAGAGGTGGAGGAGGGAGAGGCAGCACCAGCAGAGGTGGAGGAGGGAGAGGCAGCACCAAGAGAGGTGGAGGAGGTAGAGGCAGCACCAAGAGAGGTGGAGGAGGTAGAGGCACTACCAGCAGAGGTGGAGGAGGGAGAGGCAGCACCAACAGAGGTGGAGGAGGGAGAGGCACTACCAGCAGAGGTGGAGGGAGAGGCAGCACCAACAGACGTGGTGTGTGTGTGTGTGTGTGTGTGTGTGTGTGTGTGTGTGTGTGTGTGTGTGTGTGTGTGTGTGTGTGTGTGTGTGTGTGTGTGTGTGTGTGTGGGTGTGGGTGTGCGCGTGTGCGCGCGCGCAAAAATAACCAACAAAAACCCGTGATTGGGTTATGTGTAAGTATCCACTCGGCAAACCAAAGTAACATTGCGAGCCACGGTGGCTGACCTTAACTGCCTTGTGACACTACAACACCCCCGTGGTGTGGTCCTGGAGGCTGGCCCCCAGTCTGACACAGGTAGATAGGCACCATCTTATACCCATGAATATATATTTGTCTCTTACATATACAAACACATATATCCCCAAAAATGCAGCCTTCAATAGCTGTGTAACTCCCAGCATCATACTCCCAGGAGTATGGGGTCCACTATTTACTGATAGACGAATAACGGGAATTAAACTCTGCTCAATTGTCTGTCTCGGTCGGGAAATGAACCCGGATCCCTGGATTGTGAATTGCATGTTGAATGTTCTAACATAGTGTGTGTGAATGTTCATGTTCAACTATGTTAAAACAGACCCTAAATGAACAAAGAACAATCAATAAAGCAACAAAGAACAAAGGGGTCTAGGCTAGTCACCCCCCCCCCCCCGTCCGTCCTGTCATTCCCAATACGTTTTTGCCAGTCACGATGGAACAACAGGACGATTGCACACAGGATCGGCAATTTCAGCGAACAAGCAAACCATATAGACCACTACAGGGGTGCTGTAGTGGCAGTACTCGATTTCGTCTGGGTTCGAGCCCTAGCAGGGGGGAGAAATGATGGCGATAATTCATGACTGTTTGCTGCTGTTCATTCCAGCAGTAATTGGGAACCTGGGTGGAAAGCGTTTAGAAGGTAGTGTTCCAGGGGATCTATGTAAAGCTTCAGGTTAGCTAAGGGAAGAGGGAGCTCTAACGTGGAGTCAGAGGACCTCACGTCTACGACGCACAGCGCGACGTCCTGCACGCTCCTGCGTAACAAAAAAATTGTAATGACTAAGCCCTCAGTCAACTACTACTGCCTCGCTGGCAATACCACCCTTCTCATCCTCCTACCCCATTACTGCCTCACCCCTCTCCCTAGCACGTCCCTGCTCTATCCTCCCCCACGTCTCCCCCACCCTTGTTCACCCCCATCTCTCCTTTTGATGTCCATCTTTTGCTTTTCCTCCATCATGGTAACCCTCGTTCTTAATATTTATGATGTCTCCAATATTTAAAAAATGCATGAAAAAATTATTATTAATATATATTATATTATTTGATTTCACTTGCATACTGTGCATGTAGCCTAGGGCACCACTGTGTCTGTGGCCATAATAGGGAGCCGGTCGGCCGAGCGGACAGCACGCTGGATTTGTGATCCTGTAGTCCTGGGTTCGATCCCAGGCGCCGGCGAGAAACAATGGGCAAAGTTTCTTTCACCCTATGCCTCTGTTACCTAGCAGTAAAATAGGTACCTAGGTGTTAGTCAGCTGTCATGGGCTGCTTCCTGGGGGTGGAGGCCTGGTCGAGGACCGGGCCGCGGGGACACTAAAGCCCCGAAATCATCTCAAGATAACCTCAAATAGGCTTGTGGCCCCGGCTTGTGGCCCGGGCTTGTGGCCCGGGCTTGTGGCCCCGGCTTGTGGCCCGGGCTTGTGGCCCGGGCTTGTGGCCCGGGCTTGTGGCCCGGGCTTGTGGCCCGGGCTTGTGGCCCGGGCTTGTGGCCCGGGCTTGTGGCCCGGGCTTGTGGCCCGGGCTTGTGGCCCGGGCTTGTGGCCCCGGCTTGTGGCCCCGGCTTGTGGCCCCGGCTTGTGGCCCCGGCTTGTGGCCCCGGCTTGTGGCCCCGGCTTGTGGCCCGGGCTTGTGGCCCGGGCTTGTGGCCCGGGCTTGTGGCCCGGGCTTGTGGCCCGGGCTTGTGGCCCGGGCTTGTGGCCCGGGCTTGTGGCCCCGGCTTGTGGCCCCGGCTTGTGGCCCCGGCTTGTGGCCCCGGCTTGTGGCCCCGGCTTGTGGCCCCGGCTTGTGGCCCCGGCTTGTGGCCCCGGCTTGTGGCCCCGGCTTGTGGCCCCGGCTTGTGGCCCCGGCTTGTGGCCCCGGCTTGTGGCCCCGGCTTGTGGCCCCGGCTTGTGGCCCCGGCTTGTGGCCCCGGCTTGTGGCCCCGGGCTTGTGGCCCCGGGCTTGTGGCCCCGGCTTGTGGCCCCGGCTTGTGGCCCCGGCTTGTGGCCCCGGCTTGTGGCCCCGGCTTGTGGCCCCGGCTTGTGGCCCGGGCTTGTGGCCCGGGCTTATGGCCCAGGCTTGTGGCCCGGGCTTGTGGCCCGGGCTTGTGGCCCGGGCTTGTGGCCCCGGCTTGAGGCCCGGCCACAGCAATGTGGCTGCCTCACATCCCAACACCATCCTTCTGGCATCTCTACACATCTCTCACAGGTGTTCACTACCGCAGAACGAATGTGTCTATATATGTATGAACACGTTGTACTGAACGGGGTGAGAATAGCTTGAGCTACCTCATCCCTTTGTGTGTATTTTACGTCAATAACCTTATTTCAATTTCAACTGTATAATCTTCGACCATATTTCTCTAAATCTAAGAGTGTTTCAGTCTTGTTTCTAGCTTATTGTCATCCCGTCGTCTGATCACATATAAGCTACACATATCAATGGAACACATGTGTAACAAATTATTTTAATATCAAACAAGTGACAATATTAGCAAAATAGTCATGTATGCATCAAATTTCGACTTCATGCGTCGTAGCCTTAGTAATTGACTTAGCCAAACTAACTCTGGAGTTGAGGTCACGAGTCCATTCTGTGCCTCTATTTCCACTACCACTCACAGGAGTATGAAGTCTACTACCACTCACAGGAGTATGGGGTCCACTACCACTCACAGGAGTATGGGGTCCACTACCACCCACAGGAGTATGGGGTCCACTACCACCCACAGGAGTATGGGGTCCACTACCACCCACAGGAGTATGGGGTCCACTACCACCCACAGGAGTATGGGGTCCACTACCACTCACAGGAGTATGGGGTCCACTACCACCCACAGGAGTATGGGGTCCACTACCACTCACAGGAGTATGGGGTCCACTACCCCTCACAGGAGTATGAAGTCCACTACCACTCACAGGAGTATGGGGCCCACTACCCCTCACAGGAGTATGAAGTCCACTACCACTCACAGGAGTATGGGGTCCACTACCACTCACAGGAGTATGGGGCCCACTACCCCTCACAGGAGTATGAAGTCCACTACCACTCACAGGAGTATGGGGTCCACTACCACCCACAGGAGTATGGGGTCCACTGCCACTCACAGGAGTATGGAGTCCACTACCACTCACAGGAGTATGGGGTCCACTACCACTCACAGGAGTATGGGGTCCACTACTACTCACAGGAGTATGGGGTCCACTACCACTCACAGGAGTATGGGGTCCACTACCACTCACAGGAGTATGGGGTCCACTACCACTCACAGGAGTATGGGGTCCACCACCACTCACAGGAGTATGGGGTCCACTACCACTCACAGGAGTATGGGGTCCACTGCCACCCACAGGAGTATGTGGTCCACTGCCACTCACAGGAGTATGGGGTCCACTGCCACTCACAGGAGTATGGGGTTCACTGCCACTCACAGGAGTATGGGGTTCACTGCCACTCACAGGAGTATGGGGTCCACTGCCACTCACAGGAGTATGGGGTCCACTACCACCCACAGGAGTATGGGGTCCACTACCACTCACAGGAGTATGGGGTCCACTACCACCCACAGGAGTATGGGGTCCACTACCACTCACAGGAGTATGGGGTCCACTACCACCCACAGGAGTATGGGGTCCACTACCACTCACAGGAGTATGGGGTCCACTACCACCCACAGGAGTATGGGGTCCACTACCACTCACAGGAGTATGGGGTCCACTACCACCCACAGGAGTATGGGGTCCACTACCACCCACGGGGTGGAATAAGACATGCATAATGAACTACACTAAACTAACTACTGACACATTTTGCCAATATGACAAATTGTGGCGTTTGAGGTTTAGAAGAGAAGTGAGAGACGTGACTGGTGCAGCGTATCTTACCATGTCCCGGCGCTTGTCTCCCTCGTGGCAGGTGAAGCTGTTGGAGCACTCCTGACTCTCTCCCTCCGAAGCTTGGTACTCCTCCTCCATCTCTACTTCCCTCAGACTCTGGCTCCTCCGTATCCTCCGACTCTTGAACTCTCGCATTCTCTTTGAGGCAAGAGGCGTGTCTGGAACCATCTTTAAGATGACAGTGCTGTGCTCCTCGGGCGACTCCAGGAGGAAGAGCGCCTCCAGGCCGACGTCCACCTCGCCCACCACGGCCCCCCTGGAGGGCTTGATCACCGCCTGACCCATGCCGACACCAGCTGGGATACTGCTGACACCACCACTGGTCCAGTGTGGCTCTCAGCGCCCATCACGCGCGGCCATCATGCAGTCACTCGTGAGCAGGGACCAATGTCTGAGGATCACGGAGCATTGGGCACGTTATACGACCACCAAGTTCCCATTAGCTCTACCTTACCAGGGTTTACACTTCCTCCTTATTTCCACAAACTGTCAAACTGCTGTATGTTTAGTGATAGTTCACAGTAGTGTGGGCTGTACCTCAACACTGTAGTAGTATAACAGGGAGACAACCCAAACTTGATATATATTACATTAATACATTAAGCCTATTATACCTAATACAAAATATATAGTACAAAAGTGTGTATTATATATAATATATATATAATTTTGGTTTGTGTGTGTAAATCACGAAAATTAACGTGATGAAAAATGTGAAACAAAGGAAGGATTGAAACAGGAATTTCCTCAAGTACTTTCGTATTTAATAATACATCTTCAGAAGGACCAGTCCTTCTGAAGATGTATTATTAAATACGAAAGTACTTGGGGAAATTCCTGTTTCATTCCTATATATATATATATATATATATACTGTATATATATATATATATATATATATATATATATATATATATATATATATATATATATATATATATATGCGGAAAATCCACAGAGAAATATGAAATGAGGTGAACGTTTCGGCTTTGTTAAAGCCTTTGTCAACACCAGACTGACTGGTGAACACTTTTTTTAATTTGAGTCAAAACTAACAAATATGATCTAACCTAACCAATCGTGTTCTTAATATAACAATATTAATTCAAATACACCAATTTTAGGTAGAGGTCAGTCTGGTGTTGACAAAGGCTTTAACAAAGCCGAAACGTTCACCTCATTTCATATTTCTCTGTGGATTTTCCGCATAAAATGATCAGTGTTTTGTGATCGTCAATTGCATATATTATATATATATATATATATATATATATATATATATATATATATATATATATATATATATATATATATATATATATATATATATATATATAATGTTGTACTTAACAGCCTGAACGCACTACTTGGCCTACTATGCAAGGCCACGTTTGCCTAATAAGCCGAGCTTTCCTAAAGTTATATATTTTTCTAACAAAAAAATCTTATGAAATGATAAAAGCTTTCCATGATATATATGAACACTTTTTTTAATTTGAGTCAAAACTAACAAATATGATCTAACCTAACCAATCCTACCTAACCTAACAATACTAAGTCAGTAATTCGTGTTCTTAATATAACAATATTAATTCAAATACACCAAATGGGAATTTTTTGTTGAAATTAACGATAATCACTCTGCCTATTAGGCAAATCGGGCCTTGAATATTAGGCCGAGTTCTGCGTTCTGGCTATTAGGTATGACATATACATACATACACAATTGCGGAGAATTCCAGGTTCGAATCCCGGGCGGAACAGAAATGGTTGGGCGCATTGCCTAGAGCACCTGTACACCTAGAGCACCTGTACACCTAGAGCACCTGTACACCTAGAGCACCTGTACACCTAGAGCACCTGTACACCTAGCAGCGAGTAGTACTCATGAGTTAGCCAGCTTGTTGAGGGGTTGTAGTCTGGGCGGAGTCAGTAATTCGACCTTAGGGGGGGGGGAACCCTCTATATAAGTCTATAAGCCTAACGTGTATGAATACATAGCGTTTCGGGCAGGTCCTTAATCTTAATTTTCCCCGGACTACGATTAACAATCAAGTACCCATTCACTGCTGGGTGAACAGTGCCATACAGTTAGGGATAGGCGCCTAGTCAATCCTCCCCGGCCAGGCTACGAACCCAGGCCTAATCGCTGGCGATTATTATATTCTAGACACAACGTACACACTGAACATTAGTTATAAACAAAATCTCCAACACTGCTACAGTTTACTGAACATCACTTGTATTTAATAATGATTCAAACTCTCGGACTCTCGGGACGACGTACATCTCCGGCCACTTAATGTTCAACGATACACGTGTTCTAAAACGTTCACTAAAACTAAAACGGATTTAGGGGCGACAAAACGATACACGTGTAGAACGTCTACGAGCCAGAGCTGTGCATACAACCTCACAGTGAGCCGGTCAGAGCAACACTGCGTGGCAGGTCGTGTTGTCATCACCCCGCTGCCAGGCGGCTCTCACTCTCCATCGCTCATCATAATTACCATCGGCTGTTCATTTGAATTAATATAAGCGATTATCGATTGATATCAAATGAGAATAATATATTTAACAAATGAGCTTTGGAGTATTAAATCAACCATAAACAATTTATCTTAAGTTTAAAATGATTGAAATATGATGTTATGAAAACGAACGATAAAGAGTGAAACTTTACCTGGCAGGCAGTTGGCGTTGCCGTGTAACGTTCACTACCGGCTTCACTTTTCTCACCATCACTAAAACGTTTACATGACCAGTTTTATATTAAATATATCAAGAAAAGACCCCTGTACTTAGTATTAAATTTATTCTAGTTTCAAGATCCATACTTTAAAGTAGTGATGCGCATGTGCAGAACTGCACGCACATGGCTGCCAAGTGTGTGCTCATCTTCCACACTCACAACATCTTTAACAAAAATTGCAACACACAAAAGTGACTTATTAAGATGAGTGTTGTAATATAATCACAGTTTTGCCACGTCTTACGACATGGTGTTATTGTATGTGTGGACTTGAGGAGTGAATAAGGCATGAGGCAGAGAGGGAGGGAGGGGAGGAGGTAGAGGCGTGGAGGAGCGTGGGCGAGCATGGCGTCATGCTCCTCCCCGCCCCTGCCACCTGCCGCCATCACAGCTCCCCGCCCCTGGCATCTGCCGCCATCACAGGTCTTCACTGTTATATACTGCCACCAGAGGTCACTGTCACCACACGTTGTCACTGCATCATCATCCGGCTTTTACCCCAACCCCCTAAAAAAACAAATATCCAAGCCGATTGTGAATGATAATAAAAGATTACGTCGATACATGACTATTGGTCAAGATGGTGCAATATATAGTGGAGGGTGCCGGTAGTGCAGTGGGCTTCCTTCTCCAGTCACAATCGGGAATCCCGAACTGGACAGAAATGGTTGGGCACGTTTCCTATGACCTAATGCCTCTGTTCACCTAGCTGTAAATAGGTACCCGGGAGTACGTCAACTGTTGTAGAATTACAGCTTCGGGAGGGTCACTAGTTTGACCTTGGTGAACTTCCATAGAAATCTAACAAAAAAATATATATACACAGGCTGCCTGCCTCCCAAAAATGAATTATTAAATTATTATTATTATTAAATTTTGTATTAATTATTTAATAATGACTAGTTTCTGTGTTCAATATTTACCGTGTGAACTGAGTGAGCAGCACACATGTGACATTCCACAGCTGCGCACATGTGCTGCAAGGTGCAGATCAATAACACCAAGATATTTCAAACCAGAAGTATATAAAGCGTTGGTATATAACCAGAAACCCCAGAGATGCCCCACGATACCTATAACAGGCTATAACACATGTGTGGTTTCCATTGTCAGGAAGCACAGGAAGCCTATATTAAATATAGGCTTCTTGTGTTATATAGGTCCCATCAGGTCCTTTGAGGTCCCTTCAGGCTATATATAGCCTGAAGGGACCAAGGCCAATCAATGGCCGGCCTTTCCCAGGATGCGATCGACCCCCACTATAAATCGATCGTGTTATAGTCGACCCAGGTTATTTACTACAAGGTGAACAGGTATATCAGATGTAAGGAAACGGTCCAAAACGTCTCGGCCTGCCTTGGGCTCGAACTCACAAATGGTTGTGAGCCGACTGCCTTATGGTTATATCAGACGGTATAATGTTCATGTGATCATTCACATACCAATTTTTCACATCCTCACACAGGCGGGACCAAAAAGCCAGAGCTCGACCCCCGCAAGCACAACTAGGCGAGTACAAAATACCTTTTGTCCAGAATATTCAGAAAAAAATTGTATTTGGTCAACAGACGTGATTCTGAACCCATGACTGTATTCACCTAACTATACTCACCTTATTGTGCTTCGGCTCTGTGGTCCCGCCTCTCAACTTTCAATCAACTACAGTGTAAATGGATACCTGAATCTATTGAGATCTATCATATCTACATTTGCAACTGTTTGGAGTCTGCCTCCAGCTACCTGTTGTTGGTTACGCAGTTTGTTTAGTTCATTTATTATGCACCCCATACCCATCCTGTGGGGGGGGGGGGGGTAGTGGAAAGGGTTACAGAGGCACATAATGGGCTCAGGGACTGTACCCCCAAAATTCACTTTGCTAAGCAAGTTACAGTCTTGATGATCTAGTTACAAAATTGAATGTATATTGTTACATCAACAATGGGTTCGAGACGGACCACAAGTACAGTCTCCAAGCTACAGAACTTACAGATGTGGAGATGAATATATCCGGCCCAGGAATATATCCTTCATGGGCCGGGCCGGGCCGGGCTGGGTCCGCATCCTAAGGTTTCCCAACGTTAAGAAACTGTCGTACTAAAATGTCCTCTCCTGACCTGCCAGAGGTCAGAGCCGCTTCCATTTTTCTAATACGACAATTTTTGGCCTTATTTATTTATTTATTTATTTATTTATTTATTTATTTATTTATTTATTTATTTATATACAAGAAGATACATTGGGTTAGAGAGAATACATAGCACAGTATTTACAATCTTGTAAAGCCACTAGTACGCGCAGCGTTTCGGGCAGGTCCTTAATCTAACAGAAAATTTTAAGTAGGTAAATTCTATCAGAATTAATAAAATGGTACCAAATACATTGCAAGAAAAAAATGAAATGAGAGAGGTTAGTAAGTATATTAAAGAACATTGGTATATTAAAGCTCTGATTGATTACATTGACAGATTGATTGGTAATTTAAACAAGATTAATAGACACCATACAGCAGATTGACAGCACATATAAGAAGACAGCAATGATCACAATGATAAAGATGTTCAGATTGGGTACATTAAGATTGGGAGATTGGGTAGCAATAGATACAATGCAATTTTAAAGCAAAATGTAAAAAACTATGAAGATGAAATTAGGTACTTTTTAGTATTGTTTTTGAATGACACAAAAGTTGGACAGCTTTTCAATTCAATAGGGAGTGAGTTCCATAGACTGGGTCCCTTTATTTGCATAGAGTGTTTACGCAGATTAAGTTTGACTCTGGGGATATCAAAGAGATATTTATTTCTGGTGTGGTGATAATGGGTCCTATTACATCTGTCCAGGAAGAGTTTCAGAGCAGGATTTGTATTTAAGAACAAGGTTTTGTAAATGTAGTTGACACAAGAGAATTTGTGGAGTGAGATTATGTTTAGCATGTTTGTAGAAGGACAAGTTGTCGGAGGACAGGTTGTAGGTTGTAGGAGGACAGGTTGCCTCACCAGCCCTCCACCACCTCACCTCAAAGTGCATTTCCACTGTTCAATCCTCATGTGTAAACTACATCAGTCGATTGACGCTCCACAAATATTTGGTCTACCCACCTCCCTCAGTCTTATATGATTTCTGTAAACCGGTCGTAGAATTCTGTAGAAGAGCTTCTCCATCATCTTGCACGGTATGCAAATTTGTGACACTGGCTCTATAGTTCAGTGCCTCCTGTCTGTTTCACTTTTCGTATTTTGCGACCAAATTGCCATATTCCATCTGTCTGGAAGGTTTCCTATATCCAGTAACTTATTATTCACCATAGAAAGCAGCTGGCATAAGACTTTCATTTCTGTTATTTTTTTTGTATCCAATGTAAGATTCTTTCTGGTCCAGCAGTCTGTCGTGTCTAGTACCCAGAAATATCGTGTGACGCTGTAGGTCGCGCAGCAAATACCTCACAGCTGTAGTTTGCCTAACGCACATTAGATAAAAAAAAGATAAAACAAAATAAAAAACCCGCTAAAGTCCTGTGCGGTGTGATAGTTACAGGAGTAAACACCTTATATGGCTCATATACACCTGCGGGTGACGTCATGCTGGCAGCAAGGTGTAACTATGAGCCGGTGAAGTAATGGGTAGTTAGCGTGTGTCGACCAGTCACCGGCGCGCACCTGGTGTGTGCGGCTCTCGGGCGAGTGTATGGGGGTCCGTGGTGGGGCTCCCACACGTCTGCCTCCAGGTGGTGATGCTGTAGAGGAGGTCTGTCCTGTCCTTCCTGTGCCTCCACCTGCTCCACCTGTCCTTCCTGTGCCTCCACCTGCTCCACCTGTCCTTCCTGTGCCTCCACCTGCTCCACCTGTCCTTCCTGTGCCTCCACCTGCTCCACCTGTCCTTCCGGTGCCTCCACCTGCTCCACCTGTCCTTCCTGTGCCTCCACCTGTCCTTCCTGTGCCTCCACCTGCTCCACCTGTCCTTCCGATGCCTCCACCTGCTCCACCTGTCCTTCCGGTGCCTCCACTTGCTCCACCTGTCCTTCCGGTGCCTCCACCTGCTCCACCTGTCCTTCCGGTGCCTCCACCTGCTCCACCTGTCCTTCCGGTGCCTCCACCTGCTCCACCTGTCCTTCCTGTGCCTCCACCTGTTCCACCTGTCCTTCCGGTGCCTCCACCTGCTCCACCTGTCCTTCCGGTGCCTCCACCTGCTCCACCTGTCCTTCCTGTGCCTCCACCTGCTCCACCTGTCCTTCCTGTGCCTCCACCTGCTCCACCTGTCCTTCCGGTGCCTCCACCTGCTCCACCTGTCCTTCCTGTGCCTCCACCTGCTCCACCTGTCCTTCCTGTGCCTCCACCTGCTCCACCTGTCCATCCTGTGCCTCCACCTGCTCCACCTGTCCTTCCTGTGCCTCCACCTGCTCCACCTGTCCTTCCTGTGCCTCCACCTGCTCCACCTGTCCTTCCGGTGCCTCCACCTGCTCCACCTGTCCTTCCGGTGCCTCCACCTGCTCCACCTGTCCTTCCGGTGCCTCCACCTGCTCCACCTGTCCTTCCGGTGCCTCCACCTGCTCCACCTGTCCTTCCGGTGCCTCCACCTGTCCTTCCGGTGCCTCCACCTGCTCCACCTGTCCTTCCGGTGCCTCCACCTGCTCCACCTGTCCTTCCGGTGCCTCCACCTGTCCTTCCGGTGCCTCCACCTGCTCCACCTGTCCTTCCGGTGCCTCCACCTGCTCCACCTGTCCTTCCGGTGCCTCCACCTGTCCTTCCGGTGCCTCCACCTGCTCCACCTGTCCTTCCGGTGCCTCCACCTGCTCTCTGGTGTTACGTTAATCATTCAGTTTCTCCACCACCTTGTACTTGCCTTCTTGTTAAACTGTGGCTTCCTCCTGTACATCTAATTTTTCTCGTAATGTTGAGTGACACTTATTTACTGTGTGTGTGTGTGTGTGTGTGTGTGTGTGTGTGTGTGTGTTTGTGTCTGTGTACTCACCTAGTTGTGCTTGCGGGGGTTGAGCTTTGGCTCTTTGGTCCCGCCTCTCAACTGCCAATCAACTGATGTAGATTCCTGAGCCTACTGGGCTCTATCATATCTACATTTGAAATTGTGTATGGAGTCAGCCTCCACCACATCACTTTCTAGTTCATTCCATTTACTAACTACTCTGACACTGAAAAGTTCTTTCTAACGTCCATGTGGCTCATTTGGGTACTCAGCTTTCAACTGTGTCCCCTTGTTCGCGTACCACCCGTGTTAAATAATCCAAGCTTGTCTACCTTGTCAATTCCCTTGATAATTTTGTATGTGGTGATCATGTCTCCCCGAGCTCTTCTGTCTTTCAGCGACGTGAGGTGCATTTCACGCAGCCTTTCTTCATAACTCATGCCTCTTAGTTCTGGGCCTAGCCTAGTGGCTTAACTTTTTCCAGCTTCGTCTTGTGCTTAACTAGGTACGGGCTACATGCTGGGGCTGCATACTCCAGGATTGGTCTTATATAAGTGGTATACAAGGTTCTGTAGGACTCCTCACACAGGTTTCTGAAAGCAGTTCTGATGTTAGCCAGCCTTGCATAGACCGCTGATGTTATTCTTTTGATGTGGGCTCCAGGAGACAGGTTTGGTGTGATATCAACTCCTAGATCTTTCTCTCTGGGGAGAAGGGGAGCCGGTCGGCCGAGCGGACAGCACGCTGGACTTGTGATCCTGTGATCCTGGGTTCGATCCCAGGCGCCGGCGAGAAACAATGGGCAGAGTTTCTTTCACCCTATGCCCCTGTTACCTAGCAGTAAATAGGTACCTGGGAGTTAAGTCAGCTGTCACGGGCTGCTTCCTGGGGGTGGAGGCCTGGTCGAGGACCGGGCCGCGGGGACACTAAAAAGCCCCGAAATCATATCAAGATCAAGATCATAAATTCATGTTGCCAAAAGTTCTCCCCAAAAACATATTTGGTGAGTTACAGACATCCTTACAAACCTCATATAAAATTATTACTCATATTTATAACAAGAATATTAAACTGTAATGACTACATTAGTGAGCGTGGTTCAGTGAGAGGCTGCAGGCAGGTGCAGGTGGTCAACAACATCAATAAACATTACTCGCTAATCAACACTATTCCTCCATACATGAACACACAAGAGCTCTGCATCAATAGTACCAGAATATATAAAAACAAGAATCTAAACATAAAAACACGAACAATGCACTCTATATATAACCCAAACGTTCCAAAACGTAGATTACGTCATCCCGGGCTCCTCCCCACCCGCTCCGCCCCCTCGCCCTTGGAGTCACCTCTACATGTGTTGTGGAGTTCCCAGCCCACCTGGAGCCGCGCTCACACCTTTTATTTATTTACTTATTAAACACATTTAGGTACATCTGCATTTGTGCAGCTGCCTTAGACTATATGAAGGGGAGCACAGAGTGTGTCAATAGCTAGCTACGTGATGCTAAAGTCCCCATCTCGCAGGACGGTTAGTCATACAGGGCCATACTTTCAGTAGCCTGCACTAACAAATTTGGGGTGCATTATGAGGTTCTGCTCAAGAACACGATGAGTGAATAAAACAATTGCTAAGCTCCAGGTACCTCATGCCATCGGGTCTGAATGGTCTGATAACTGGACATTCGGTAATGTAGTGTGCGAGCTCATGCCTTAGTCTCATGCTCACAGAGTTTGCACCTGGAGTGGATTGGGAGATCCGTCACCTGCATATCAAACACATACTGCAAGATGCAGTTTTGGAAGATCAACCAACCAACGTTTTGATTTCATTTACATTCTGCAGGTCCTAAGATATTTTCGCAGTGAGATTCAATTCTGTATTTCCCTGCCACTAAAAGTGAGTACTGCAGGTGTAGGCGACACCTCAGGTGTAGGCGACACCTCAGGTGTAGGCGACACCTCAGGTGTAGGCCTACATTACACCTTAGGTGTAATGTGCTTGTTTGCTCAGATGACAAAGAAATTGGTCTTTAATGTAACAATTTGTTTGCGCTTATCCTAATTTGGGTGTTTGTAGGTAAGGTGTAACTAACAAAGGTCACTGTGGAGTGTGTGTGTCTCCGTGTACACCAGTTTCGTGTGTTTGTTTGTAGTGTGTGGTCATGCTCTCATATGTGGCTGTACACACACCACACGTATGTGGCTGCACACACACACACACACACACACACCACACGTATGTTGCTGCACACACACACACCACACATATGTGGCTGCACACACACACCACACATATGTGGCTGCACACACACACCATACACGTGTGGAGGCACACACATACCACACACACACCACACATGTGTGCAGGCACACACACACACCACACACGTGTGGAGGCACACACACACCACACATGTGTGCAGGCACACACACACCACACATGTGTGCAGGCACACACACACACCACACACGTGTGGAGGCACACACACACCACACATGTGTGGAGGCACACACACACACACACACACACCACACATGTGTGGAGGCACACACACACACACCACACATGTGTGGAGGCACACACACACCACACATGTGTGCAGGCACACACACACACCACACACGTGTGGAGGCACACACACACCACACATGTGTGCAGGCACACACACACCACACATGTGTGCAGGCACACACACACACCACACACGTGTGGAGGCACACACACACCACACATGTGTGGAGGCACACACACACCACACATGTGTGCAGGCACACACACACACACACACACACCACACATGTGTGCAGGCACACACACACAGCACACATGTGTGGAGGCACATACACACACACACACACACACACCACACATGTGTGGAGGCACACACACACACACACACAGCACACATGTGTGGAGGCTCTCATTACCAGTTCCCTCCACCTTTCCCCTCCCAGGTGCACCCTCCACACCCCCCTCATCATTAATCCATTACATTCTCCACAATCCATCACTCTCCCGTTATATCCTCCGCCCTCTCTTTTCCACTCTTACGTCCTCCCATTACCTCTCACCATTTCCTCTCACACCCATTACCTTTCCCACCTTCTCCCTCCCATTATCTCTCCCACCCTCACCCTGGTGTATTAATGCTGCCTCTCCCGTTACTCACATCTGTGTGTGTGTGTGTGTGTGTTTGTGCTCACGGGCGGGTATTTATTTACCTGAATTTACCCGAGAGCCACTAACACTAGTGGCCTCGACGAGGACTGGATGCCGACGGCTTGTCAAATGTCCCCCCATTTGCCGCGATGATCTTCCCAGTAGGATTTTAAAATTTCATAGGGGGCTTGGCATTTACGGCTTCGGCAGGTAGGCGGTTCCATGGGTTAATAACCCTGAGGGTGAAAAAGTATCTCCTGTTGTCAGTCCTACACTGTGGCTTGCTGAGCTTTAAACCGCTGCTCCTTGTCTGTGTTACATCTGACCTTTTGAAGAAGCTGTTTAGATCAACATCCTTCAAATTGTTCTGTATTTTTAACGTTTAGATGAGATCAGCTCTATCATGTCTGGTTTGTAGTGTTGTTAGCCCTGTGGCCCCTCAACCTGTTCTGGAAAGATTTTTTGTTGCCCTGTGTTGTACTTTCTACAGAGCAGTTATGTGCTGCCCGAAACGCTTTGCGTAATAGTGGCTTTAGGCATTGTATGTACTAGCTCTATCTATAAATCCATCAACTTTGGTATCTCACCTTGCATGTATGTACTTTACCTGAATAAATATTTGTATTTGTATTTGAAGATGGGGTCTCCATGCTTGGATACAGTAATCCAAATGGAGGCGCACCAGAGATACATGCAATTGAATCACTACCTTCTTTTCCTTAGAGTCAAATGTACGTTTGATTATTCCAAGATTCTGATTAGTTTTTTTTACTACTTCCCTTCCCTACCTGTTGTGTAACTTTCAGTGAATGGTGGGTTTTGACTCCAAGGACCTTTTCTTCATTAATCTGCTGTAATGTGATTTTATTACTTTGGTAGTTGTGGCGTGGGTTGTTATGCCCCACATGCAAGGTCTGGCATTTGTCAATATTAAAAAGCATTTGCCAGTCTTCTGACCATAGTTCGTGTAGATCTCTTTGTAAGGCTTCAATATCATTTCTATTTCCCACTTTACCATAAACCTTCGTGTCATCTGCAAATCTGATGATGTGGTTTGTAATATTCTCATCTATTTCATTGATGTATCTGACAAAAAGGGTTGGCCCCAAAATGGACCCCTTGTGGCACCCCATTTAGCACAGTTCCCCAGTCAGATTCAATCTCATTTAGCACGACCCTTTGTTTAATTTGTTTTAACCATTGTTTTATCCATTCTACTATTATTCCATTTATTTCATGTGCCTGTAATTTCCTTGCCAATCTTTCATGTGGTACCTTATAAAAGGATTTATCAAAGTAAGATAATAATTAGCAAAAGAAGGCACCAAACCGGGAAGGCTATGTAGCACCATCAAATGTGCGGGATAATCAGAGGGCGCTAAATATCACCAAGGATGCCAATACGAGAACAGAAACGCATAAGGCGAACGATATCAAAAGTATCCGAGTCACCAAGAATACTATCGAGAGAGAAGCGACCGCGGGGGATGGTCGGAAAACAAGACACACGCTCGTCCCGGAAGTCAGGACATTCAACAAGGATATGCACGACCTAAGAGGGACAATGCAATTAGGACAATAAGGAGCAGGGCGGCGCTCCATCAAGTGAGTATGAGTTAAGCGAGTATGGCCAATACGCAGCCTCGCCAGAACCGTTTCCCATCGCCGGTTACGGTGGCAGGAAAACGGCCACGAAGACACAC